TTCCCGCCTCACACCAGTGTTCATCATCATTTTCGTTTTGGACATTTCATCAAGCCAATCTTCTGACCAATCATGTCGAGCTCGTTTACCATATCTTCCATTTCGACTGTGTTATTGGATATCAAAACGATATCATCGGCGAAACGGAGGTTGCTTATTCTTTTCCCGTCAATCAAGTATCCTTTGTCATCCCAGTTGAGGTTTGACATCGCATACTGTAGTGCTGCCGTGAACAACTTCGGGGATATCGTGTCCCCCTGCCGTACCCCTTTCTCAATGGGTACTTTTACCTTGCGCTCGAACAGTTGCAGGGTTGTTGATGTGTTCGATAAACTCTGTTCGAGCAGGCGAATGTAGGCAGAGGGTACTCCGGCTCGCACAAGGGCGTTGAGAACAGCATTAACCTCCACTGAGTCGAAGGCCTTTTTGTAGTCCACAAAGACGAGGACAAGTGGAAGATGGTACTCGCGGCTCCTCTCTATGAGCTGTGTTACTGCCTGTATGTTGTCCATACAGGAGAAATTCTTGCGGAAGCCGGCCTGCTCTGGTGGTTGATAGTCGTCCAAGATGCGTTCCATACGGTTGAGCAGTATTTTCGTGAACGACTTATATATCGTCGAGAGCAGACTGATAGGCCGGTAGTTGGCAATCTCCTCCCTCTGGCCTTTCTTGAACAGAAGAACTGTTCTCTCATTCTGGAATCCTTCCTGATTGCAAGGTAATGACTGAAGTGCTCAGCGAGAAGTGTATGAAGGGACTTTCCTCCTGCACGAAGAAGATCGGCAGATATGCCATCGGGACCAGGAGCAGTTCCTTTCTTCATCTTTTTGTCGCATTTGCAACTTCCGATTCCAGAATAGGAGGGGGTCTTCAGCAGGCGGTACAGAGCATCTAGGGACATTTGTGGAAGAGCGGAAAAGCTTCGTGTAGAATCACTAACGATGTCCTCGATAGATCTTCTAGATGTTTGTATTCTTCCATCCTTGTCCATAAGAGCTGAAATGACATTTCTTTGATCGTTCAAATCTCGTTTGCAGCGTTTGATGCTCGATCTTGTTTCTGCCGCCTTCAACAGCCTAGTTCTTCTGTAAGCTCGGAGTGATTCTCTGACGGCAAACCGGCATGCCTTGTTGATGGTGACTTTTTCCAAGTGCGTGGCATTAGGGTCCATTTTCATTGCCCTCCTTTTTCCAACAAAGTGGTTGCGACAGCATTGAGTCTTGGGTTGGAATCTGGGGCGAGACGTGAAAGCTCCACGACGCACTTGGACAGACCTTCAACCAGATATTTGTAGTCCTCCAATGGGTCGTCCAGCAAATTCCAGGTATGAGCCTCAATGCATGGCTTCCAAGTGTTCATTGTTGTAGGAGGATGTCCTCGGGGGATGAATTTTTCGTGATACCCTAAGAAATCAAAAAATAGAAAATATACCTGGTGAGCTGCAGTCGTAAGGTCCAAGAAGACCACCTGATGAAACGCCGAGTACAACATATCGCCCTTCCCCATTGAGCTGGAATAGGGGCCCACCGCTATCTCCCTATAAATAGCATGTCTTTCGAACTTTTCTGCAAATCTGAGACACCGGAAACTTTATGAGGAAGTCGTCAACTCAGTTCATATAAAAAAACATAAACTTCGCCACGAAGATGAACTATGAAAATCTGACGAGAAGACCTCGGGAAAATTCAAGAAAGGCGCGCAAGTTGTTGGCTATCAATGTTCTTGGAAATGTACACTGCACGGAATGAACCACGACAAATGAAGGCATACTATTTTAGCCGTTGCGATTATCTCGTTGCTGATTGCACCATGCACAAGGCGTACAGGTCGGCACGGTGCTACTTTCTCTAGGTGTCCGTCTATAGAATTAAGGCCGATCGCGCGGCTTTCTGAGTATCTGCGGCATGTTTGCTCTCGGCGGCTACTGAAATGCTCCCTGGGGTGTAGGTGTAGGCACCCCATGCAAAAGACTTTCTGACCCAGCCCGGCCTTCTTCCATCAACGGCTGTCTGCCTCATAGTGGCAGTGTCTGGCAGAAAATAAGCTGGCGAGACGCCAAAGCGTATTTAAGGTGGAACGCTTCCACATACCGAAAGCGAGGGTGGAAGAAAACTCGGCGTTCAATTCTTCTCAAGCTGACTTTCATGCAATTTCGAGCGGCGGAGGTATAACCCTCGTACAGAAGCCCCCCTGATCCCTCGCTTATGGAAAAAGTTAACCTCGCCGCGCACAGTAGTCTGTTTTAAGAGACAGAGACCAATACCCAACAGTGCTTCGCACATATCTAGCACAAATCTGCTGGACCTTCTTTCTACTCCGAAGACTACGATTATATGTGTGACTCAATCCGTAAAGTACAGGCACATCGTCCTGAATGAGGGTTAATGTGACTCACCGGGCATATAGCAGTGGTGTTGCCTTGTGCCAGAAGTATTTCACGATTGTCTTCCTTGACAAGTGGGATTGTAGCAATTTTGTATCCGGGACCTTCCGTCCCCCCTTAAAGACTGCTTTTTTGGCAACAAATGCAGATTCGCATACGTAAGCACATTCCGAATAAGAATTCAACAGGATCGAGCAAATTTCGAGGAACACAGGAAGTTAGCTGGGCGTTTCCGGGCTATTTACAATAACCGTTCTGATGGATTTTCCGAAAACAAGTGTCTCGATTAGAATGCTGTTTATTCCCCGGCAATTCTGGAAGATTTCAGATGTGAACTGAACTCTTTAGGGCTGAGGTGTCAAAAACACAACTTGATACGACCTGAATTCTAGACTGGACCGCTGCGCTGGTGGGCGTGGCCTGCGACTCCGCCAGCCATTGCGTACGAGCTGCATTGTCGAAATATTGAAGAAATTCTTTCATTCTACACTGAAGAACGCGCTGTGGACTACGATGATTTTCGAGTAGTAAACTGTAGTCAAAGAAGAGAGTTATCGAAAGGAATGTCAATATTTTCATTGTATTATATGTAACTTACGGCTTGCCCATCCATGTCCCGCAGCTTGAAGGTCTTTTGCTAATGCAATTTTACTGTGTGGTAAGCAAATTGGAATGGCATCCTTGTTGCTAACTTCTTTACTGAGCTCGAGGATAGCAAGGTCGTGTTGGTTGATCGGTAATTCATCGTTCTTTCCCTTCACGCACCACTTCCATTTTTTGTCAACAAAAACCTGATGAAAAGAAAAAAAGTGGTTCTACAAAAAAGGTTCTTCAAAAAAGGTGGTTACTTATTCAAAATGGTTCTTTAGCAACTTCAGCAAACCTTTGAAATTGCGTGTGTGATTTTACATTTCTCAGGGGGATTGCAACGGGTGCCGACATATACGATGAAATCCTTTGGCTTGACCTCTGATGGCACGTATTTCTTCAATATTCCATCGCATTGATAAGACATCAGCGTCTCATCTATGTTCGTCGCACAATGTGCGGCCGTAAGGACGTGACGTGGGGAAATTAGGAACGCACTGCAGTTTTGTATATACTTTTTATCTGAAAACTGAATAATAGACTTTTCACACACAATGTAATCGAATAGAACCCCCTGACATCCTATATCTTTGTGAGCAAGTAGCTTGACCATCCACGGGTACTCGCCTGACTTTATGACCCGCCCTCCAATTATTTTGAATTTTGAGGAAGGTTCTGAAAATTCGGTTTCCTGACATTAGAAGATCTCAGTGGCCGAAGAGAAGCGAAATAACTGATTCGCAGTAGAAGTCACGCCCTGTTTCTTGAGTTATTCTAGCAATGCTTTTCACTAAAAACCGAAGCAGTTCTTCCCTTCATCATAAGATATTTGGACCGCACAGAATGGCAAAGCGATTCGTTTTGGCATCGGGCTTTGCCCACATTTTGCAAACGTGGCATTTATTTCCAACTATTTTCACTACTGACCGCCTCCACTGCTAGAGAAAATCGTTCAGCCCAGAAGGACATTTCGCGCGCGCTAGCTTTTTTTGCTAATTCCTGCTAACCACAGATTTTTTGAGAGCAAATGAAGCTTGTGCCAATGCCTTCAGTGGAACACATTTTCACAAGAGTCATCATCAGTGATCGACGAAAAGCAGAAAAATGCTGGATTGCCCCAGATTTGTTTTTTTTCTCGCATGTGCCGATGGCATGATCCCGCAGCACACGGGAAGGAGCACAGTGAGAGGACGCACGCATGCAGCGCGTTCAACTCCGGTTAGGCATTGGCTAGACGTGCGGACGCTGTCCAAGTGGCGCACAGCAAATGCTGCTGAGTGCAAAAGTGGGGGCCCCCCTACCTTGGGTGCGGACCCAGTTGTCTTGCACGTGTGAAAGAACCATTGACGACTCACCCACGTTTCCCACACCGCAGCTTTTTCGCAGAAGTTCATTTTCTCTCTGTGAAAGACGGTAGCAACCTGTCGTCACAAACAGTAGCAGTATAGTGGCAAATATCATCTGGAATTGAGAGAAATTCGAGGAATCGATCATTTCAGGAAGATGAAGAGAATCAAAGTCCTGTACTAGAGTGCAATTGTAACGGAGCGTAATGACGCGTGTCATCACGATGTCTGAACGCTTTCTATAGAAACTCTTTATGAAAGTAGCTTTGTAGGGTAAAAGAGGTTACAATGTTGGATTCAAGTGAACATTTCTTCGTATGATATTTCCAGACCGCGAAAATCACAAAAAGATCCTTTGGGAAAAATAGGTGTGCAGAGAAATGTGGGAAATGCCAACTGGTTGCGAAATATCCGTAAAACCTTGGAGCTTGGGAGATTACCTAACTGTCCAACGCTCCGGGCCATCTCCCAAGCTTGCTAACCCTTACGGCTCACAACTGAAAAAAGACACATCAACTAACTTAATTTCTGTTTTTATTAGCAAGCATAATTTGATTCAGCTGCAGTGAAAGGCTCATCAAATTCATCATTCCTACAAAACGATAGTGCTTCACTAATGGCAGTCCATTTTTGGAAGAACACGTTTAAGTCAGGTTTTATGGAAGCAATAAAACCTTTTAAACTCTTCTTATTCTAATTTTCCATTCCCTCGCAATAAATGGAATTCAGCAAGGGCAACCATTTTTAGTGATAGCATTTCGTTGCCTCGCTTTTTGGAGCGGAGGAAAGCTCATCTTCACAGCCCAATCAGGGGAAAGTTGGTGATTCAAAACTCGTAGCCCTTTATGCTCCAATTTTGCTGAGATGAAGACGACGCCATGAAGAGGACTCGGTTCCTCTTCAAGCGCTGCCACCAGAGCATCGGTTCGGGAATCAAATAGCGTACTAAATCCCGCTAACGCCAACCAAATCTTCTATCTTACGTGTACGGGGATTTGATACCAGATTCGTCTGGTGGTAGGAAACACTGAATTGTGCATCGGCTGGCTCTCGGAAGTCACTATGTCAACGTTCAAATAGGCAGCATGATCCTACTATATATAATCCGCTAAGTTTGTCTGTTGGTGTGTGTGTGTGTGTGTGTGTGTGTGTGTGTGTGTGTGTGTGTGTGTGTGTGTGTGTGTGTGTGTGTGTGTGTGTGTGTGTGTCTGTATGTGTGTTTGACCGGAAATTCATAACTTCCTTCAAAACAGCGACTGTGCGCTCAAACTGATAAGTGATGTAGGAGGTCGGGCAGGAACACTATTGGTAGGTGGCAGGAAGTGATAAGAGCTGATAAGATACCATAGGGGGTCTTAGAAAGCGAGGGTCACCGACTCCATAACGCGCGTCACAGCGACGCTAGGACTTTAGTTCCAAGAGGCAGTATAGGGGACAGGATGAGAACATTATTGGTGGGTGGCAGGAATTGATAACAGCCGATAAGATATCATAAGGGCTCTTAGAAAGCGAGGGTCACCAAATTCATAACACCGGCCACAGCAACGACGAGACATTGGTTCCAAGAAGTAATATAGGGGGCAGTATGGGAACATTATTGGTGGGTGGCAGGAATTGATAACAGCTGATAAGATAGCCAGGAAAATTCACAGCAGAGTTATAGCAACACTGGGAACTGCTCCAGCAAGTAATTCAGAGGTACTTAGGGAACATTAAAGGTGGGAGATAAATTCTGACAGTGTCCGACGAGGGCTTTTGGGAGTCCGTATCTGCTCACATCACCGTAGCCAAAGAATGAATGGGCGAATTCTTAATGAGTCAAGATGTTTTCCCTTAGCAAAATCCCTCAGTTTAGCGGTCGGAATTGCTTCCACCGCTAAACGCTCGAGTTCCCCGAAAAAAGGATGTTTGGAGTTGTTGCCCAGTGAGGAATGATAAGAGCCACTGTGATTTCGATATTTTTACCATCGGAATCCTTCCAACCGCTATGCTGTCCGATTTCCAACGAATGGTGATTTTAGAAATATGATATGAGCCTAACATTGGCAAGTGTTCATTAAAAGGGAGAAACATGATGAAATGGGCCGTTTTGGAAACATAGGAATTAGGCTAAGTGTTACTGCTCAGCACAGAAATCCTGTCAAGTATCAGTAACATAGGTTTAACCCTGCGCGCAGAAATGCGCGTCAGCCAGACTGATTCATAATACAGATAGAATGCATATCCCAAAGATGCTTCGATCCCGAAGATCGTGGATGATTCTTCTTGGCTTCCTTTTATGTGAATGATCTGCATCGGACAAGTGGGTTTTGGAGACCAACTAGAAAGTCACAGTACCCGGAAAGACTGAAAAGGAAACTATTGTCACAGATCCTGGATTGGAAAGAGAGCTCATCTAAACGACTCCAACTTCTCTACGTGACACTATTTTTGAGAAAACAAAGGATAGAAGGCTCTCGAAGGTCCCCAGAGCAATTGCTAGCTCATGCCGGGGGTGCACCTTATGCGATTGCAAGTAGGGGGCCCAAACTATGTAGTTGGAGAATTCGCGGTCCTTGTGACTCTTCAAAAAAGCAGACAATCTGTCGGAAACCACTCGAACAAGACATCTTAACCCTACTAGCATTCGGAAATGCAAGACACTACTGAAAGCCACCCGAAGGACAGTCCAGCGGAAGGAATCATGGGCACAAAAATGAGGAAGTTTGTTGTGTAAATGATTACAGATTTTCCTAGCGATGTTCGGCTTGGTAAAAGCATTTTGCACGCCTTCTAATTCCTTTTTCTTCAGTATTATCGACCAACGAGTCTTACAATTAGTAGTAGTTCGGCCACGTGGAGGTGAGAGGACGCACATTTTGCACTTTCGCTGCTCAAAGGCACATGGCACCATAGTTTATACTCGTTCTCAAATGCTAGCAGGGTGCGCTATCATGGGGGAAAAGGCGGAAAACGAAGTGAAACTAGTTGGGCTTCACGAGTGTCAGTTCCATGGAACCTGTGAACTCTTGTAGGCCCACGAAATGGCTCTCTAGTTCTTCCGACACCTCGACAGAAGCAGTGAAAAGTGCAAAATGCACCCTCATCGTCGTCGCCCAGCTTCCCCGAGCCTCATTTCGGTTAAGATCTACAACTCTTTTGAAGCGGCGTGTTGGTGCAAGTGTTCAACTATGGTTACAAAAAGCTTTTGAGATGAGCTTTGTAGGTTTTTAACGGGCACCTTTTGGTGTCTCACTCCTCAGGTCGAGTTTCGCCGATTTCCTTCTCTGAATGACTCGAATGAATGACATAAGTTGGTTTATTTATTATTTTTATTTAACGACACAAAATATGGAGGGATGAGAAAGAGAAAAGGACATGGGAGTCTTTGACTGAGTGCCTCCCTTACCTTTACACTACGATTTTACACTATACTATATTACATATAATAATTTGGTTTTCTGTGAGACTGTTGTTGGTTAACCCACTGGAGGGGTACAGAGAAGGGTTGCCCTCACTAGTGCGCAAATCCTCCTTGTAATTAAAGAGAGGCTTGTCAATGAAACAAGTGGCTCGTGAAGAGTCTCTCCTTCAACCTTTCGGCAACTTTGCGGCCTTCGAATGGATCGCATGTTCAAAATCCTATTTCACAATTACTACGTCTTTTTCAGTAGGTGTGAAATTCAGACTCTAAAAAAGTTCGAGTATGTAGAGAAACTGCTCCCTCCTGCTGCACATTTTCACAAGTCCTTTGGAGGCAAACTATTCAGTAACTTCTCAGGAAATAAAATCAAATTAATGGACTATGTTGTAAAATCTAATAAATGAGAACTATTGAGGGGTTTGAAAGCAAAGAGATAGCTCACCTTCCGTTTTCTAAAGAATGAACATCCTGCTCTTTTCTTTTCGCAAGCTTACTGAAGTGCAAATTCAATCGGATGGACGCTGATTCTCTAGAGTAAATGATAACAGAGTATATAGAAATGCTTCGATGTAGTCCGTACTTTAGCGAGAAGTCAGAGTGCTAATGAGGGGCTATTTTGCACATCACTAGTTTCTTCTGCATTCCCCGCTCTTTAGTAGATACTACAAGCGAACAGTTAGACATAAACCTGAAAAACTGCAACGTTTGAATAGCTTTTGGTTAAAGCAGTTGGCACAATAAATGTTATACAGTGTAGAATTTTGTACAACTGTCTTTAAAGAATGTGACCTCGACGGCGCGCGTGAACCTTTCCAACGAGGGTACCTCTACAACGCCCCTATTGCGCACAACTGTTACGGTACCAAACGCCTTCTTGCCGCCCGCCACTAAACGAGATCGTTTCTGACGTCTCGGTATTCAGTCATTGCTGAGCAGTATATAAAGCAAAGAATTGGTATAAAGCGCGTGAGCTGCATGCATACGGTACACAATATGCTCCTTAGTTCGTAGCGTGATTGCAAATGCGTATGGAAACTCGTCGAATAGATTACAGTACTGAGGCTTTTCTTGCGCGGATTTTGACCGTTACTCCGTTTTTCGCCATTTCTCCACTATACAGCATTGTTAGGCTAAGTAGAACATCGTGCAACTGACTTTAAAGACTTTCACAGTCTTCCACAGATGCTTCACGAGCTTCTAGCACTGTGTGGTAGCCCACCTTGCCGAACTGTTAGGAATCTGATTTCTACTCATAGGTAGAGGAACAGATCAAGCTGTGATAGAGTTAACAACTAGAGATTTTCGTGGCGGTCCTGGCGTGAAAGGCCAACGCTCGGAGAAACAGTGTACTGTGGCCACCAAGGCGTGGAAAGGTGCAAAAAAACATGACGCAAACCAGGAGATGAGCTTTTTGAAAGGGGGTATTCATCATGTGTGAAAAAATAGAACGTTCGAAGTCACAGTGGCCGAAAAGCCATGTATGTAGAGTATACTGTTTCTTGATCCCTTAGCTTTCCGAGATTGTTAAAGATGTTTTATTGAGCTAACGTTTCGGCGAAAATCGCCTTCTTCGGAGTCCTGAAAGTCAAAAGCACATTATCGAAACACTTCGCCCAAAAACCAACATCACTTTACAAAAGAAACCAAGGGTAGGGAATCAGGGAACGAAATCGTAACGGACCAACAACTCACCTCTTACTGATGTGGAACTC